GGAATTTCCCTCATCTTTGTGGAGTGGCTACAGATGGTGGTGCCAGCCCAATGTGCCTCAAGATGCCAGTAAGGCTGATTCTGTCCTTGAAATCTCCTTCTCTGCCATATTTCACAATGACCTTCTCCTTTTGGTGACTCCTTGTGGGCTGCCAGTTCTTTCTGTTTCACTTCTGGGCGTCCCCACTCCTCCACTCTCAGCCCTCCTAATATCTCGACACCAGAGCTTGATCTCTCAGTTTCCCACTGCTCTGATATTTTATAAAACACCCTCAGAGAATGACTAAATTCCCTTAGCCAATGCAAACAGTTCAACCAAGGACTTTCCACACTGGATCTCAAGTCACTGATTGATTGAGTCTTGTTCTCAACCCTGTCAAAGTATCATTTGCTTTAAGTAGGGTAAGGTGGCCTGACAGATTTGCTCAACCAATATCCTCCTCTACATCCTAAACACACATTCCGGGGGGGTGGGGAGCAAGAAAGAAGAATGGTTTTGATATTAGACATCAAAAACACTGTCCACATTCAACTTTGAAATTCCTCAGAGTTAATGGATACACTACTAGTATGCCACTGTACAGATGCAGACGCTTATTTAAGCAGAGAAGATGAAAGAGAGTAGAAAGAAGGAGTAGGCACAGGAGAACCTGCAAGTCATGTAAGGATTCAGGAATACACACTCCTTTTGCAAGGATGGCATAGGGGGAGGGTCCATGGTTGTGGAATACTGCACAAATATCAGATTTTTCAATATTTTTATCAGTTTTGCTATTTTTTCTCTTTTCTCCTCTTTCTTTCTGTTTTTAATTCTTTGCTATGTAAGGGAGTGGTTCTCAAAGTGTGGTCCAGGGATCCCTGGCTATCTCCAAGGAAGGTAAGTAAAATCAGAACTATTTTCATAATACTACTAAGACATTTTAACATCTAATACTGTAAATATAGCTAAAACCCACATGAAGAAAAGCTTTTTGGGGGAAGGGGCTCAATAATTTTTAAGAGTATAAAGGGGTCCCGGAGGCGGGGAATAAGTCACTCTAGGAGGAGGCAATGTGTAGGATGCAATGGGAAATCTAGGCAATGTAAATACAAGAGACAGAAAAACAATTTTAGAAAAGATTCAGAAATTTCAGACTTATTTGTAGTAAGTGATAGGCAGAGGAGGTTAGCTTAGTAAGGGATCAAATTGTTAGGGAGGATTTAAGCAACTTAAAAACAGCATTACTTCTAAATGGTCCTCTATTAATCAGACCATTCCAGAAGTGCCTATAGAAGGTATTAATTGCTTTGATAAATTAATGGATTTGTGATTTGATCAATATGATTAATCCCTCAAAAGATTCAAATCTCAATCCAGCAATGTCTGTCTCTACTGGGTGACTCTTATCTAGGTTATCCCAGAAGTCTACTATAAGAGATTCACCCCGTGTCCTAGAAGATCTTTTAATGAATCTCCAAGCATCGTCTGCACATCAACGCACCCTGAAAACTGGCATACGCGGATGCAGCCTTGAAATGAGAACCACGAAGGCAGGCTGACATTCATGATGATGGTGATAGCATGCATCATAATAAAAACACACCAAATTGGAGAAGGACATGGCAAACTGCTCCAGTATCTTTGCCAAGAAACCCCAGATGGGGCCATGAAGAGCTGGACGTGACTGAAACGATGGAACAACAGAAACACATGAAACACCATGCATTCCTAAAGGTACTCAGATATAAAAAGTCACATCATGCTATGTAAGTGCTAGCTAGAATTATTATTATTATTATACTCCCTCCCCCACAAAAAAAAAGTGAACAACTATTTTTAACAAATATCAGTAAGGGGAGAATTCTTAACCAAGCAAGGAATTAAAAACCAGCTCCATGAGAGAAGGAGCTGTTTAATTTTCTTTTTTGTGTCTCCACCATCTTGCAAAGTACATAGGGCTAGAACTCTGATTTAATTGACATTGAGAACTCCCAGATGAGAAAATACCCAAGGGAGGTCTACCAGAATCTTCTAGATTGACCTGGACCACTGAGAGGTTAGGTGATGTCCCAAGGTTCTACATCAAGGCTTTATCAGAGGAAGAACCTGAAATTATATATTCCTGGCTCCAAGGCAGACCCTCTAGCCATACTATCACACATCCTATCACCTGGTATAGACACATGCTAGATGTTTGTTTTTATTATTATTTTTTAGGGAATTAGGGTTAAGTGACTTGCCCAGGGTCACACAGCTAGTAAGTGTCAATAGTTTGGTCTGAGGCCGGATTTGAACTCAGGTCCTCCTGACTTCAGGGCCGGTGCTCTATCCACTGTGCCACCTAGCTGCCCTAGAGATATTTGTTAATTGACTCATCAAAAAGAAATACACTATTTAATTTCAATAAATGAACAAAACTTTTACTTGAACAAAATTAATGCATTTTTGATAAAAAGAAAACTACTGAGTGGAAAAAATGCTTGCATCAAGTATCTCAGAAAAGTATGTGATATTTAGGATCTATAGGCAATTGGCACACATATATCAAAGCAAGCCCTCTGCCCCCTCCTCTGATGCCAGTCTTCCCAGGATCATCTCAGAGGCTGAGCTGCAGAAAGACCCACCACCTGGAGTGCCCTCATCCATTTCCTTTCCTTTACTTCCTCCCCTGACCCCCAGGTTACCCAAATACCATGAGGTGAGGGAACAACCTGACTGGTCACACCACTTAGGTAAGGTGGGGGTCACCAAGTCTGATCCTTCTGGTGAGAGGGAAGATGCCCACGCCCTAACACTGTCCCTGCCACTGCATCTGAACATTCTTCAGGCCTTACTACCCGTCCAGCTGCTGCGTCCCCCAGTGCCCCAGGGCACCCTTATCTAGCCTGCCAACAAGCCCGGAGGACCTCTGGCCTGGCCATTTGCTCAGTCACTCCCTTCTCAGGATTTCCAGGTATTTGCATCTGCCCTGCAGCTGAATTCTCACTTGGGCTTCTACCCCAAACAAGAGCGTGAGCTCCCAGACAGCAGACGTTGTCTCCCTTTTTCTAAAGCTCTCTCCACTTAACTAATGCTGGGCATACAGCAAGCACTCAATAGGTGCACTTTCATTCATCCATCTCCGTGGATATGTGGCCAAAACACACGCCTACACAGTTCTCAAGAGAACCGCCAGCTCCTGACAAAGACATGAGCCGGCGCTCCCAAATGCAGAGTTAGAGAACCACAAAGACGGGAACAGTTAGCACTGGGGGGAGGGGGGGTGGAAGGCCAGACTTCAGAGGCACAGGCCCCTTGGAGAGTGCTTTAGAATGGTGGTGTGACTCCAAAGTGCAAGGCCTCGTCTACATGGACACGCTCCCAGGGGCATTCTCTGGGTTTGTTGGCAAAGAAATGGGACCCCAGCAGGTGCTGGCCGATTAGGGAATGGCTACACAGATTGTAGTAGCCGGCGGTGATGGAACAAGAGGAACATGGGAAGGCGTGGAATCTGATGCCGAGTTCAATAAGAACAAACAAATATGTGGATTCTGAGAAGATCAGCAGAAGGAACGCTCCCCAAATACAAAACCAGGCACTGTACAATTACAGTGCTGAAGCTTGACTCCAGAGAAGGGCAGGGAAGGTATTTGCTTCTTTTCATTGGAGAGATGAGGGTTGGTTGGGCACGAATGGCGAATGTTGCCTACGCTATAGGGAGTGGTCACTGTGTCAATACGTTTTGCTCCCTGTTTCCTACCTTTTTTCTTTTTTCAGAAAACTCTCTGGGCCAAGTGACTTGCACAGGGTCTAGTGACCAGTAAGAGTTATGGGCTGGAACTAAAGTCATCCTAACTATTCATTTGGTCTACACCATTTCATGGAGCATAAGAGCCCAAATTAAATCAATCTTCTTTCCTTCTTTTCCCTCCCTTCCTTCCTCCCCCTTTCCCTCTCCTTCCTTCCTTCTTCCCTGACTTCTCATGCCCAGCACAGGGTTTGCACACAGGTGATAGGGCTTGAACCATGAAAATAAGACTGATCCTCTATATGACACTGTATTGTACCTCACTGAAGATGAAGAAAGAGAAAAAAAGACGTGCAAACAGACATTGTGCTAGATACTAGACTACAATCAAGGCAAATGCAATGTGGATAAAACTATTTTTTGTATCCACAAATCATTTTACAATAAATATTGCAGCTGGGCAGTAGAATGAATAATGTTCTAAGCCTGAAGTTAGGAAGACCTGATTTCAAAACTGGCCTCAGACACTAGCTATGCTTCCCCGACTCTGAAATGTGGATAAGAACAGGCCCTCCCTCATAGGCTATTGGGAAAATTGAATGAGTTAATATTCACAGGACCCTTAGTACAATGCCTGATACATAGTACGCACTTAATAAATGCTTATCGCCTTCCCCTTCTCAACTCCTTCCCAGCCCCAGCACATCCACTGTGAAAATGCCTATTTTCTACCAATTTCGATTCATATTCTTGTCAAATCCTAATTCGTTTATTTGAATGTGAGGGTCCCAAAGAGAAAAAGTAAGAAACTTAGCCAGTGAACTCAACCACAGAAGAGGACATGTAGTCATAATTAATTTTTATGTCTCTGTCCATTTTTATGCACATGTGTGCAAAAACTGGCTTGGTTACCATTCCTTTCAAATGCAATCCTGGATCTCAATGTAAATTAGAACCATAAGAACCAGGTTCTGCTCTCACAAACCTGGTCTTTTGTATACTATTTGGAAATCATCCTTGAATATTCAGCCATTTCCTTTCTTAAAATCTATTGGTTCAGGTGCTCAAAAAATTGTTCAATAGACACAATTTCATCTCCTCCCTCCCTCGGGTGGTGTTTGGAGAAGAGAAAGAAACCAACCTGAAGGGAAAGCCTTAATAGGGGCAGCTAGCAGCCATTTGACAAGGTGTGGATGAAATTTATTCTTTCCCCTTCAATAGGTTTTCCAACATTAGCAGCAGTCCCCCATCAGCACAGCACAGACAAACCACAGCCCTTAGTAAGAAGACTTACCACGCCAATGGAAAAATAGTTATTGATAATCGAGTAAGGCACTGGGTCTCCTTTTTCATCTTTATCATTCGGGGTGACCTCAAACTTCCATCGGTCCAGCATGATCTGGGAGCTGTTCTCAATGTCTCTGAGGATTTTCATCAGACTCTCCCCTTCATAGCCTAAGACAAGGAACAATGATTGCTTAGCTCGAGGAAATGGGAAAGGGATGCCAAAGGTGAGCCTGCCTTAGCTTAAGGACCATGCTCACGTTTTCATAGACACCTGGAGCATGGAGGCATGGGCAGAGGGGTGGGGGTTGGGAGGGAAGGGAGTATAATCTCATCACTCAATACCTCTCTGCCACCTGTGCTGGCCCCATAAAATAACCTTGGTGATCTTGAAAGCCACAGAATAAAAATCTCTGAAGTTGTAAGAACATTCAGATGGCATTCAGGAAGCTCCTTCTTCTGTTTTCTTCTCATCATTAAGAATCAATGAGAACTATTTTAACACTCTTATAACATGAAGCCTTCAAATAGCTGTACTCTTCAGTTGTCTGCCTCTACTGACTATGGTTAAACTGCCGAGAAGTTATTTACAAGGCAAGGAACGTGATTTTATATTTGAGCAAGCAGTGGGGTATAATGGAAGGAGCCCTGGACTCAGAGTCAGGGAAATGAGGCTCAGCTGTGTAAGCAGAGGCAAGTAGATCTCCTCACCTTTCTTGGAGAGGGAGCCAAGTGTGGGGGACCTGGCAGGAGGAAATAGCTAGATTTGAATCCCAGCTCTGACATGCTGTGCATATGTGACTTTTGGCAAGTCATTCCCTTGCTCTCTGCCTCAGTTTCCCCACCTGGAGACTGTAGGCAATATAATAATAATTCCAGTGCCTTCCTTGAAAGGTGTTGTGGCTTTTATCAGCTCTGTTCTGCAGCGCATAAGTAGGAGCAGGGAAGACAAATGGTGGGGATAATTCAGGCCTGGGGAGCTGACGAGGCATGGCGGTCCCCAGGACAAGGACAAAGTTTAGTCCTGAAGTGTTTCAGGCAGGGGCCAATCCCAGGAAAGGAGAGCATTGTCAGAACCTGGGTGAGAGCATAGAAAGAAGCTGTTGGGCAGTAGGACTGAAGGTCTCCATGAGCGAGGACAACAGCTGAGGAAGGTTGGAACCTTAAGAGATTGTGAACAACTGGTTTCCATGGCAATGCCTCGCCCAACCTTGAGTTTAGGCCAGCAGCCACCTGTGGGGTAGACAGGGGCTCAGGATGCCGGCACAGTGAAATGCTAAAAAATGCATGTTGACTATCTGTGAGTGTAGTAGTAAGACGGAAGACTCTTCGGGGCAAGAGCTGTTTAATTTTTGTCTCTGTATCCCCAACATGTCAGGCTATGGATTTGTCAAGGATTCCCCTTCTTCTTGGATTTCCTGCAGATCAGGTTGGCAAGATGCTCAGATAGTTATGTGATATCTCCAGTCACATGACATAGGCAAAATGCTTCAGACTTGGGATTTGAATCCAGCACCTCCTGACACCCAAATCAGTAGTGTATGCACCACGCGACATACCACGTGCTCAGTGCATTTCACTGAGATGCTCAGTGCGTATCTGCACGATACTGGTGCCTTTCCTGGAGGAAGGCATACACACTTGCCCAAGAGAAACTACCAATCAGGCTGGCCTCTCTTCACCCACCATTCTCAACTCTAGCATTCCCTGAGCAGATGTCATAAGAAAGGGAATCTGCAGAAAGAGACTGCTCTCCAGAGAGCATCTTTGCCTAATGCTGATTCTGCTCCTCCATGAGTATCCCACATGGGAATGGTATTCAGGTTCCCAAGGTCTTCTGACCTTGGCTGACCATTTGGTTGTTAGGACTCAATACTAAAACATGAAACTGGCACCTACCTACACGATACTGAGAAAGAAATATTATTATTAGTGATAATATCTAGCATTTATTCAGTGCCTCAGGATTCAAAAAGCACTTTATGTATCTTATCTCATTTGATTCTCACAATAACCTTGTGAAGTAGGTGTTATTGCCCCCATTTTACAGATGAAGAAACTGAGGCTGAGAAAGTTAAATGACTTGCCTAGGGTCACATATCTAATAAGTGTCTGAGGAGGGATTCAAGCTCACGTCTTCCTGAATCCAAGTCTAACACTCTATCTACTGTGCCAACTGATTTCTCCAAGAAGGAAAAAGAAAGTATCTTAACGATCTAGTCAGTACCTGCGACTTCATCCTCATGACAAACATCCAGAAAGTCACCTGAGACCCTTAAAGGCTAAGTGACTGTCATAGTCACAGGTCATTGACATTACTGCCACCTGCCTCTTTGCATAAACACAACCATTTTCCCTTTAAACACACATACACACACATGCATGGGTGCTCACAAGTGCAATGTCACTGACGGCACCCAATCAGCTGTTTTCTTTCTGTCGTTTGTTTTGTTTTTTGAAATCCAAACATGAATACAGGTTTTCTCTTTAGTTCCTTGGTGATGGAGCCAAATGCTTTATAGCAATCTCTCATTCAATTCTATTATTCCCATGATTCGCAAACTAGAAATTACAATAAGTTTATTAACCAACCTTCTACCCAAGTTACATAATCATTTTCTATAGTCCTCATGGAGAAGTTCTTCTCCACATGGATTTCTTAAGCAAGTTAGGATACTAAGAACTGTCCACTGCATCCACCCAGGGGTGGGAGCTGCTGTTTATTGCACAGCCTGACTTCCACAATGGACCTTCCCTGCTTGGCTCATAGCTTATCTCCTGCCCCAATGCAAGTTAGGATAGATTTTTCCCCCCATAAAAATGTATGGAGACCATCTTCAAGACTTGGTTGGCTCAGAGGATTAAAGCTTCAGGCTTTGAGCTTCCCTTCTTGGCCACCTGAGTGCAAGATAGCCATGAGGAGCTCCAAGCACTCTTTCTGATGCTTAGCCTGTAGATTTCAATGGGTAACTCAGGTTGAATCAACTCAAGGTGTCCTCATTGCCTCCCCTTGGTGAATATCTTCCCCCTCCCCCTACTATGGCTAAATTAATCTTTTTTTTTAACTGTTGAATAACCTCTAAATATCTCCTTTTTCCCAATATTTAGCCTAAACTATCAGTTGACTGGCCTGAGTCATGCTCCAATCCTAACAACTGGCATTACAGGTAGAATGGCCTTAATATCTTTTTTAAGGAAAAAGGATTTTTCGAAAAGATCTTTTGTCCTTCAATACTCTCCTGAGAGGCACAGTCAGGTGGGTTTTCCACATGCCACTGGTATCCATTTTCATTCTTCACACATCATATGTGAGCCAATTTTAAGAGAAACAAATGCTTTTTATTATTGAATTGAGCAAGGAGGACTAATACTTCTCATTGTGGCAGGTCACTAGCCAATCCATTTTGAATGGAAGGCTTCATGAACCTGTCTGTTCTGCTTAGCCAAACTCAATAATTTATATTTTCTTGCATTCGTTTGTTCATTCATTCATTCTTTATACTTACCTCCTCCCCATCTGAGGCATCTGGCAAGGTCATTACCGGTCCCAAGAGGCAGGATTGCAACTGGAGGATGCTTCACTATATTTGCCTTTTCTGTGGAATGGGAAAGGAAACAGACAAACACACACACATAGAGAATTAAGTGATAACAGGACAATGTGAGCAATGCCAGCCCTGCATGCACAGGGGAATCACACATTTGGAGTAAAGGTTTTTGATGTTAATAGGTAAAAGAAAATGAAGTTCATACAAATTCACAAGATTTACCCACATACCCACATTTACTCACAAAAAAAAATATATATATATAAGCATCTCCATTATATCTCCCAACATACAGTAAGCTCCTCTAGAACAGAGGTTTTTTTTTTTTTTTTGTTTGATTTTGTACCCTTGAGGCTCATGGTCCAGCCTCAAGCCTGGCATGCAGTAGGCACCTAATAAATGTTTGAGGTAATATGTATTCTGTTGCATATGACAAAAACACCAGGCATAAATTGTGTGGTATCTCTAAGAATAAGATATAAAAACAGGCTCACAGATCTAACTCATTATGCCTACTTTTCCACATGTATACAGGACTATCTTGTACTCTGTTCTTTGGACCTCCTCGCTGGTCACAGGTTGCATCTTACACATACATCTTTGTAACAGACATCTTTGAGGAATCAGATGATAGGAATAAGAGAAGAGATGGTCATGTGTGGAGAGGGAGGGATGACAGATATGTGGTCAGCCTGCTTTGCTACTATCCTTCCATGTCAGGGAAATGGAGGAAAGTCTGCAGTATGTTAGGTGGGCCCCCTTTGGTGAAGTTGGAGGAGCACATGAATGAGAGTAGCAAGGATGTATGGGCTATGATCTGCATCATTGAAGGGAACTTCCCAATCTGTGAGATAGTAGATCTATGGGGTGATTGGAGCATAGATGAAAATGTGGCCAAGGCCACTTTATCCACACTTTCTCCTGTGCTATGAGATTTGGTTCTTTTGCTAGACCAATGTCTGTTGGAAGATTTCATTTTCAGAAATAGAATTAAATGGAGAAGAAATCTGGGTTCAACATCACCTCCTCTGGTGGTCCCATACATGGGGTGATTTCTGTCTGAGTCAAAGGGGCTCAGAATGAAGAGCAAGAAAAGGCCCCTTCAACTGGATGCCTTCTTATAAGATGAGACTCCCTCTTGGGACTCCCAGGAGCACAGCTGTCTGCCTGAAAAAGGCAGTTCGAATCAGCCTGAATCACCTGATGGCTTAGATTCTACAACAAATCCCCACCAAACCCCAGGTGCTTTCAGTAAAGTGATGCAGCACCGGAGGGATGCTCTGCAGCACATACACTCTGCTTACCTTGTAATGTGGGCTAGAAGCCAGATGCAGCGCCCTTGCTGCTCTCCTTTCACCATAATATCTGAATGGTAACCTTAAAGATGCTGAGATTTGAATACTGGTCAGAAAGTGATGCAAAAACAATGCAAATTGGGTCCCTCCTCACAGAACCTACATTTATGAATGTGAGCAATGATCATGTGTCCATTCAAGGGCGCGACATCAAGAGGAAGGTTCCCAGCATGCTGCATAGACACCTTCTGCAAAACCAACTGGAGCATACAGATGGATCGAGATGGGCACCACTGAAAGGTGTACGCGCATCAAGAAGCTCAAAGATCAGCCAAAGAAAACAACAGACCAGGAAAATCCAGAATCACCAGATGAAAGGCGAGGGAAATGGATGCTTGGGGCTGACCTTCAATTTAACTAGTGACTATGGAGAAAGAACACATTCCAATTCTTGGAGTTTTGTCTTACCACACTAACCTAGAAGGAGGTTTTATTTATTTGCTTATTTTTTTTCTCAGTTCCTGTGGAGGCTGAAGCCTTGGTGAGCTGCCCAACAGGTGCAAGGCCCTGTTAGAGAGAGAGAGGAGACACTCCTGTCCACACTCCCCCCCCTTTAACAAGTCAAACTCGGTGTCTGCTCGATGTGTTTGCTTGCAGAACAGATGCCCCTTTAAAGTAAGGAGAGGTTTACATCTGTGAGATGATCACCACCACTCTCATTGGCTGCTGCCACCGGTCTGTCAGGCAAGAAGCTGCTCCATGACTGATCGTCACAATGGAAAGAAGGGACTTAATTTCTGAAAGCCCAGACAGGACAATACATGGGTCGGAGGGATAAACAACAGTGAATGCTCTAAGAAAAGAAGAGAAAATGATCTCGAAAGAAATGATGAGAAATGTAATTAGCTTCAGTTTAACACTTGAAGGATCTGGGCTTTCTTCAGTGCACATGTTCTCTCTACCACCAAGCAATCAGAGACCTTCTACAATGGGAAAATGGTCGTCCAGAGCTGCTGAGGCCCAACAATTCCCTCAGCCTGATTGCCACCACCCGTCCATCTCCCTTAAATACATTACTTCTGTCTTCATTACCTATGCAGTCCAAAATCCAGCCCACTGTTCCATCTCCACCACACGCCAGGACCCTGAAGTCAGGAACGTCTCGGAAAAAATTTAACCTGAAAAACAGGAACACTTTGAAATCAAAAATTCCTATTCTTTTATTCATTTGTACAATTCTATCACTGAATCTGATGAAACACAGGCTTAACCACTTGAAGACTGAATAATATTTTAAATCCATATCACTTAGATAATGGTTCATTTTCTGTTTTTTTCCAGCTAGAACCAAATGGGAAATTGCTAAATACAAAACAAAAACAAGAAAAAAAGCACCTTCGTATCCATGTTACTGCCATACTTTCTGTCAAATTTGAAATGCCAAAAGGAAAAGTGATTTAATACTGTCAGCTCTCAATTATCTGTCTGAATGGATGGTGGACAGTATTGTGAGTCTTCCTGAGCAGCAGCAGCAGCTGTCTGGTGAAGGACCTTGGATCTGTGCCACATGAGAATCAGCTGAAGAAAAGGGACAGTTAGCCTGGAGAAAAAAAGTTCCGGGAAAGACATAATAGTTGTGTTAAAGGCCTATGAACTCTGTCTTGTGGAACCGACATTGGGCCTGATGCTTGGCCCAAAGGTCAACACTAAGAGCCACGGGAGGAAGTTTTTAAATGGCAAATTTAGGCTTGAGCTGTGTTTGTGCGTGTTTGGAGGAGAGGCTTCCTAAAATGCAGCGCTATTGCAAAAAGGAATGGGCTGGTAATGAGCTCCATCACTGGAAGTCTTTGTTCAGCAGACTGATGACCTCTTGGGGGATCAGAACAATCAATACTCTTGGTCTGCTCCAGACTGTACTGGATGGCCTCGGAGGCCCATGCTAACTCTCCGATTCGAGGCCTCTGACTAATACCTCCAATACTTTCTCACTTTTACAAACCACTTGAAGACTCACAAAGTCTGTTCCTACCGTAAACAAAGCTCAAACTGCCCAACACGTCACTGCTAGTGAACCTGCACGTCTGGAGCGCACCCGAAGCTCATTCTCAAGCACCACATTGCCACTTGACAGCGGGCGAGCAAATCTCTCTATCACCTGCGGCTCATGCGTGACCTGCTTGGGTCCCAATACTATCTCAAGCAGTGAGGCACAGGTGAACACTCGGAAGGGCAGGGGTCAATAAAGGCTGTTTTCACTCTCTTCCCACCCAGACACCTAGTGCTCCTATGACACTTCAGCCACAAAGGGAACCCAGGCCTTCCAAAGTGAGGACCAGTGTTCTTCCCAACACAGTGACTGCTGTTCAACCCAGAAGACTTGACTTGGCTCCTATCTTCTACCACACTGCTATAGAAGCCCTTTTCTTAGCATGGATGCCTTTACTAAAAGTGCTTCAACTCAGTGCTGAGGTACACACACCCTCCTCTGGTGCAGATTACAACCCATCCATAGTTTCTCACCCTGTGCAATTCTTACCCATGACCTCCCAGGAAGCCTCCCCAGAAGATGGACTGGACTTGCTGCAAGCTTCCCACTAGGTCTTCAAAAAAGAGTGAGTAAAACCCAGGGCAGAGTTGAGCCCACCCATTTGGGACACCTGACTCTCAATGCCTAATAGGGGATTTCCTTTTCCAACTAAACATTTGCTTATGTCTGTTGAAGAGCTCTCAATTTTTAGGAAAAAAAAGTATTTCTAGACTTTGTTATATATGGATCAGAATTATTGAGAAAACTGTAATTGTAATCTATTGTAATCTATTCTGTAATCTACTCATTGCAAGCAGATTATCATTTCCTACCTGTGTCTACCCGCTGCATTTCATTTATTTTTCTCAAGAGAAGATACTGGAGAAAAATCAATTGAGAAAATCACTGAAACAGACCAAATATGTCTCCATGCTGGAGACAAGAGAATCAGCCATTCTAAAGAGTTTCCCCCACCCCTTCCACTGCAACAGCTAAATTTGAAGGCACCATCAGTGTCTTTTTTTTTTCCAGACCACACATATGGACCACAAGTTCAGCCAGTGATTATACAACTAACCCTTCCCTACAACAAATGGGTGGGGATTTCTGTGGCAGATCTCCTATCCACTAATCACTGAGCTAAAAACAGCTGTCACCTCCTGATATGTAAAGAATCTTGCAACAATTGTAAAGGGAACTTATTAGAAAAGTGACATGGAGATGGAATACTATTGTACTATGAGAAATGATGAGCAGGATGCTCTCAGAAAAACCTGGGAAGACTTATACAAGCTGACGCAAAGTGAAATGTACTGCGCACAAAGTAACAGCAGTATTGTGAGACGATCAGCTGTGAAGAATTCAGCTATTCTCAGCAATAAAACAATCTAAGACAACTCTGAAAGACTTATGATGAAAAATGCTGTCCATCGCCAGAGAAAGAACTGATGGTGTCTGAATGGAGATTGAAGCATGCTTTTTTAAACTTTCTTTACTTTTCTTGAGGTTTTTTGTCTATATTTTCTTTCATAACATGACTATTATGGAAATGCCTTGCATGACCACATATGTATAAGCTATATACCTTCTCAATGGGGGTGGGAGCTGGGGAGGGAGGAAGGGAGAGACTTTGGAATTCAAAGTTTTAAAATGAATGTTAAAATTGTTTTTACATGTAATTGGGGGAAAATAAAATCCTAAATGAGAAGAAAAAAGTGACAGAAAAATTAGTAAGTATGTAATAGTGACTAACCACTATGAAGTCCACCCCCCCCACACACCCCTAGCTAATCTTTGAAAACAACAACACAATTAAGTGGAGAATGTGGGGTAGTAATTAAAGTTAAATTTTTAGGTTTGTAGTTAATAGATCTAGGCATGTAATATATTCAACCAAGAAAATACTTTATGTAACCTATACCTTCCCTTTCCCACCTTCCACTTCCCCTCTTCTATTCCTTTCTCCTTCTTACCCTCTCTCTACTTCCTCCATATATATACATATACATATATACACACACATATACATATATGTCTACACACATATATAAACACATACATACACATATGCATATGTGCACATTTACACATACATATATGCACACATAGACATATATGTATATACACACATATACTATCTATGCACATACACACAGAGTATGAGTATATATAAATGTGTGCACGTGTTTATGTATATAATGCATATCATTTAGTCATTTATACATTAACATGAATAGTACGTACATAGTATATCCACATATAATCTTGCACAATTCACTTTTAAAATATTTTACTTTTGACAAGGTTAATCATCTTTGGGAAGAATATGTATGACCCTTCTGCTGGATAACTAATCTGCATGTCAGACATATCAAGTGCCAATATTCATTCGTGATTCCAGTGTATCTTAAAGCTATTATCAATGGCTTTCCATCAGAGAGTATTGTGCCAATTATCTGAAAAAAAGTTTCCAAATTACACATTAATCAAACAATTAGAATGTCCGTTGCTTTCTTTAATATCAGATAATTACAGAATCTACAAAGTGGAAGGGACTTCATTAGCTACCCAGTCCCAACCTTCCCCTCTTCTCCATAAGAATTCGAATTCCTTCATGACCAATGGTCCTATGTACTTTATTTGAGTAACTAGAATGGGAGGGATCCCATGCTGACCAAGGCAGCCCTTTGTACTTCAGTATAACTTGATATGCTGGCTGTGTGTGTGTGTGTGTGTGTGTGTGTGTGTGTGTGTGTGTGTGTGTGTAATAAATGCACATTTATAATTAAAACAAATCTTCTTATAGAAGAGAGAACCTTGTGATGAACTGTTTGCTATGTCAAGTGCCAAATTCCTCTAGTCTTGAGGAATGCATTTTAATGCATTTGAGACTAAATTGGCAAGTAGGTGCCTAGGAGCTGAACAGGTTAAAATGATCATTTTATTTTCTGAGCATTAATCTGTTACCTGAACATGCAACTGTTTTCTGAATCACAGAAGGCCAAAAAATCAACCTGACTATGCATCAGCCTTTTTCAGTTTGCAAAAATGGAGTTATGATCATATGACAGTTTTCTAATATCATTCAAAAGTGGCTGATGCATGTGCTATAAGAACACTGTTGGCATTCCCTCATCCCTCCCTAACCTTGCAGTACCCAACACTATGTCGGGGCATTACTGTGATAGGTGAAATGATGGGGAATAGTGGGGTGTGGTTAGAAGGTGATCAATAGCATACAAGGAGGATAGCTGCCTTCCTCTAATTAAAAGGACCATATTCTGTGGCTGTCACTCAGTATTCTGTGTCTTAGGTCATTGACTCTATTTCTCCTCTGTCTTACCCCTCTCTCACCCTTCCCTTTCCCTTTTCTCTCGTCTTCTCTCTGTTTCTCTCTCTGTCGCTCTCTCTGTCTCTCTGTCTGTCTCTCCGTCTCTCTCTGTTTCTGTATCTCTGTCTCTCTCTGTCTATCTCTCTCACCAATATTTCAGTTTCTGTCTGCTTTTTAAGGTTCTTTAACATACCTGACAACAGCCTGGGATTTAGGTTTCTTTAAGATTCAAACACACCAATAGCACAGACTGGAGATTCTAGGCACACATTTGGATTTACAGGAGAGGAGGATTCCATGGGGTTTGGCTGGAGCTGTGACAGACCTCAGGAGGTTGCACCCTTACTGCTTGGGGTATGTTCTAGGTCACAGGCCCTGCCCCTCTCATAAACAGATTTTTATTGCTGCCTAATGGCTCCCAAAGCAATGTTTAGATAACCTGTCACTAACTTCCTGCCTGTCTGTGGGTAAGCATCTTGTCCCCTCTGATCCTAAATTTCCTTAAGTGTAAATGGGAGCATTAAAACGGATGATCTCCAAGGTAGTTTCCAACACTAAAACAAGAAATTCTATGAGAGTAACAATGGCGACATGAGATTCATGAATCATTAAAGGGAATAGGGAACATCGCCTCAAGATGTAGCCCTATAGAGAAAACGACATAGATTACATTTTGTAGCCGAAAAATTAGGAATGATGAAAACCAGAAGCTTAATTAGATCCTGATCTTTTAATGGCTGATACTGAAAGAGAACTAGAATTGGAGAGCACTTTTTCCATATTTAATTGTTTTAAGTAAATTAAAACTTCTACCACACAGAGGCAAAAACTCAAAGAAATTAAAACTATGATTCAGAGAAAAGGGAAAAAAGGGGAAAAAAACCTCGAAAGATCCAGCAAGAGGATCCATACCCCCTACAACTCATCATCCTCCCTCATCATCTCTCAAGCTGACAAACTAGGAGTCATTTTGGGCTCCTCACTCTCTTTTGCACCCTTACATCCAATATGGTGTTAAGGCCTTTGGATTTCACCTTTCAAGCATCTCTAGGACACACCTTCTCTCCCCTGACACTGCCCCCAACCTGGTAAAGACCCTCATCACCTCCTGCCAGGACTATTGAATGAGCTGCTGGTGGGCTGGCCTGGGGTCTCAAGTCTCTCCCCATTCCAATCGATCCTCCATTCAGCCATTAAAGACATTTTTTCTAAAATCCAGATCCATTATGTCATCGCCCTACTCAAAAAAAACTCCTGTGGCTTCCTGTTGCTTCCAGATTATTCTGTAGTTGGCGTTCAAAGCCTTTCATAACCTTGCTTCATCTTGCCTTTCCTACTCCCCACCGTGTATTTTTTGATCCAGTGACGCTGGCCTCTGGGCTGTCCCACAAACACTATACCCCACCTCTTGGTTCTGGATACTCTCTCCGGCTTGCCATCATGACAGGAACACTCTCCCTCTTCTGCCTAGACTCCTGGCCATGCTGGCTTCCTTTACATTCTAACTCAAATGCCAGCTTCTACAAAAAGCCTTCCACAACCCTGCTTAATTCTAATGCCTCCGCTTTTAAAAGTATTTCCTATCTCTAGCCTGTATGTAACTTTGCATGTATTGGTCTGCTTTTTGTCTCACCCGTTAGATTGTAAGCTCCTTGAAGGCAGACCTTTCCCTTTGGTTCTTTGCTTTTTCTATCTTTCATGCTTAGCACAGTACCTGGCACATAGTAAGAACTTAATAAATGCTTATTGACTGATTCACCAAGGACAACACAAATCATGCCCTCCTGCCTTTTGCCAGCCTTCTATTCTTGCCTGATTTTTAGCTAGGTTTTGCCTTTCTACCTCTAACAGGGATAACCAATCTCACTAATCATGAGTATTAGGGTCCCCAGTGTCCTATGCCCAGGGCATTGTGAGGTCAGAGCCTGGAAGACCCTCCAACATATGAGGCATGTGACAAGGAGGGCCACTAAAAAGCTTAGAAGCTGGTCAATGCTCAGGAATTTCCTCCTTTGGGGCTCACACTTGGGATGGAAAGGAGAGGGGGTCATCAGAAGCTCAATGGAAAAGGTGGATTTGAGCAGTAGATTCTTACCAGGTTATACTAATTAGCTTTTTATTGTATTCTACCTGAAGGTAAGGCATAGGAATTCAAGGTATAAATTAAAAATCAATGGAAATGAGTAAAGAGTTTGAAGAAATAAATCCAGACTTATATGACAAGGGCAGTGTTCACAGAATCACCAGTCCTGAGAACAGTCAGTATAACGTCAAGTCTAACCGAGTTCCACCCCATCAGAGACTAACATTCTGATCAGTAACATTTCTATTGCATTTTTTTAACGTTTATACATACACACACATATGCGCATGCGCGCACACACACACACACACACACACACACACACACACACACACACACACACACACACACATCTTTTCCCACAATAACCCTGTCAGGAAGGGAATGGAGGTAGCATCACAGGATTTTGGTTTGGAAACTCCTCCAAGATTACTTAAACTGCCAGCCTCCAAATGAAATCTAAGGAAAAGGGAATTGAGACCCAGAAGTAGCAGGTGACCTGCCCAACATTACATAGACAGTGAACATTAGACTTGACCCTGGTCCCCTAATGGCAGTTCTAAAGACCTTGCGCCTGTCATGGCAGGTCTGAGGCTTTGCTTCTACCCTAGCCTTCCAGCCACATTTCCCTTAGTCTTCCTTCACACGCTAAAGCACATGACTAAAGACAAAAGCCCCCACCCTCATCGGCTCCCTTGACGTTCCTGGGATCCTGGGATCCTTTGCAGTTCAGACCCTTTTGACTCAGTGAGTATCACAAAAGACCTTTATGGGCAGATTTATAACTAAACAAGATAATGTTCTTGGTAAGACACCCTCCTCTTAATCTGCGAGCAGATGGACTATATTTATAAATGTAAGAAAGAAGAGGGGCTGGCTCCATCACCAGCTTTTCTCAGCTTCCTCAGCTGGACAAAGAACTCACCCTTCCTTGATTCTATACCCCTTTTTTTCCTCCAACACATTTGGATGAGAAAAAACAGTGGAAACAGGATATTAGTCACTTTGGAAGCTTGGATTTGTTTTTGGTAGTTGATATTACACTTTTTTCCCCCAGTGGTCTAGCTGATGCATTCAGATCACATTATTTCTAGGTATATCAGCCTGCTTATTTAATTAGGGAATATTAAATGAATGAATGATGATCACATGAGGCTCAGACTTACCCTGGCATGGGTCCGTGTGTAGCAAGGCTATAAACCTGGCGAGGGTTTAAGAGATACTGAAGTTTTCTGTAGATTCTGGGAGGTGGGAGGAAATAAGAGGGGAAAAAAAAAACAGTTATTTAGTGATATGAACAATGCTATCATTTTTAAAGAGATAATTTTATCAATAAAGTCTAACATGATATTAGGTATTATTTCAAAGTCATCTTTTAAAACTCTGTATCATTGGGGCATAAGAAAATGTCAGAAGCAGAACAGTTTAAAGTAGATTCTTCCTAAGTGTGGCAAAGGAGCTCAGGGCCTGAGCCACAAGGCAATCAGAGAGCCCCTTCTCCCAATAAAGAGCACCAAAGGCTCTCCATTCAGAGACAATTACACTGATATTCTTAAAATACAACTGGAAATACTTCCCCTCCATAAAAATATCTTAATGCCAGCTCGTTTTGAAGACAGAATAAATGTTTTTGCCCTAGTTGTTTAAATACTTTATCTAAATAAATCCTGGCAATGACTGAAACTTAGGGGCACCTTGCCAACCTAACACACAGGGAGAAGGCACTAGCCTCCACCCAAATGGATGCTGTCACGATTCTGCTCCCATTTCATGTATGTGTTTGTAAACATGTGTTTTCCCCAGATCTCCATTCTTGACAAAGACAGCGATCTCTAACACTTGGCTCTGAGAACCGTGGGACTAATTCAACAACTCCTTTTCAGACAACAGTCCATCTTTGAGCAAAATCCAAGGCTCAGGTTGTCCTGTCACCATCTCCACCTTCCTCCAGGTCTTGAGGAAGATGGCTGACAGGTGGGCACACATGCATTTGTAAATGTACTTGACAGTGTACTTAATGTGATAAAAATATCATAAAGGGAATGGATGAATTCTATTTTTAAACCATATACCAGGAATGATGGGTAGGAATATATTTCCATCTCAGATATTCTTGAGCTTTACTGATAGATCTGATGAATTGATAACTCAAGCACCAAACGTGATTCATGCTATTCCTGGATATTAACAAGAAATGGGACAAAATAAGGAACACAACAGATTTTATGAATAAGAAATAAGGTTGTCACTTGATCTCCCCATGATAAAATCTCCATATTTACTAATCAGCTGCTTTGCTATGTTTGGAGTAGACCACACTTCCATAAATAACTGCATATATGGATTCATATCCTATTACTTCCACGTATTCCCTGTGTGACCTTGGGCAAATGATTTTATCCCTCAGTGCCTCATTTTACTCATCTGAAAAAAAAGGAGGTGGACTTAGTGGCCTCTAAGGTCTCTCTGCTTTCAATCTATCATCTTATGAAGGATTTAGGATTGCATTCGTGCTAATGCTCCCATGTCAGACACTCCCTGCACTAACATGGATCCCATAATCACTGATGAGTCAGGAGAAAAGTCATAGCAAATGGTTGCCAAGTGTGAGAAGAAGGATTTGAACCCATGCCCATTAGGTGACCCTGTCTCTTATGACATCTCTAGGCATTCATTTGCACATCTATGAGGATTTTGCCTGATAGGAAGAAGTCCTTGTTTCCCTACATGTGAAACTGTATTTCAGGTAACAGGAGAGACAATGCTTCCAATACTCCAATTCCATGCTAAAAGCCAGACTGACCACAATCATGACAAAGAAGCTTGGACTTTCTACTTTTGAAAACAAGTGTGGGGAAGGTGCATTGTGGGGATAAATAGCAACAGGAACAATAAAACTAATAACTTAGCTCTTCTTGTCACTTCACCTGGTACATCTATCATTAAAGCTGGTAGTAGGTGGATTGATAAAAATCAAGAGGGATATACGTGCTTAATTGTACATGCATATTGATATGATTAACAACATTCGATAAGCTATTTTAGAATCATGCGATTATCATAAGCCAAGCTTTCTTGTCCGTGTTTGCCTTGACATAATATCAGTGTATAAAATTAAAAAACAACAACAACAATATTTTAAGAGAGAACAACATCCCAACATTCATTATCTCAAAACCAGACGGAAGGAAACACTTTCAAGAGAAGGAGCCCAAGCTGAGAAAGTGGAAACATCACAGGGACAGGATGAAGGTCATATCCTCCTTCTCCTTCCTCATCATCATCATCCTAGCTACTGCTGGAATCTGTTCTAAACATGCTTTCAGTGCGTCTAAAGGGTAGGCACTTACATCCCAATTATTTTATGCAACTACCAAAGCAGTCATTTTCTCAACCTGGCAGAACATTAAATACAAAATGATAACAGTCAAAGGTAATGTCTTTGAATGAGGTCTAGGTGAACTCCATTGAAATAAATGAAAGAAAAAGAATTATTATAATAACAACAACAAAAAAAAAGATTGGGGCATGTTTGGCGTTTGGCAGAACCTTTATGGGTATGTTTGTGGCTAAACGAGATAATGGTACTCTATGGACCACTGAACACAAAGGATTGTTGGAACACTCTCCACTGCTTCCACAATCTGCCTTCACCATCCTCAGGTATTTCTAAACACATTAATGTTATTGCTCAGCACCCAGTTCTTTCAGACTTTGACAAAGTCTTTCACATTATCTCTGTGGGCAAAAAAGGAGAGATGTTAAGAAAACTGGGTGGATTTAGACAGCGGGAAGGAATGGAACCCTCTCGTGAGCTCCTCTCCTCACAGGCTGGAGCGTCCTGATAGCTTTTTTCACCTCCCTATCACACCAAAAAAGAGTGTCTGAGTACATCACCATACCAATGCAGTCTTAGTCCTATTTCACTCAAAAGTAGGCAAGCTCAAAGACCCTCCAGAAGGGAAGACAACCACCAATAAAAATTACAGAATGTCCAAGCTACGAAACAAATAGAGAAGTATAGGTGATTTGTCCAGGGATCAGGAAACCTCTTAGCTAGCTCGCTAATTAATAATAATGATCACCACTGTCATCATAGTCATCATCATCATCATCATCATCATAACAGCTAGCATTCCCAGGACTTATCCTGACATGCTCAGACAAGACTCAAGGCCCAATTCTATATTTTGAGGGGACAGAGGGGAAAGTAGAAGAAAGCCAGAACAAGGTCACTCATGTTTCTACAGCAATTTAGGCCCCACCACAGGCTTTTCTCACAAGAACTTTTTGAAGTGGGTCCTGAGAGTCATTTGCCTCTTTCTCAAAGAAAATGAGGCAGAAGAAAGTGAAGCCAAGACCACTAGAAAGCTCAAGGCTGTAGAAGCAGGAAGTATAGCCAGACCCCTCCTTGGGCCATGTTTTCAGTATCAGAACACAGAGGGAGAAGAAGAGAGACAGAAAGAAAGAGGGGCATAAGGGAAGACGAAGTGGCAAATATGCAGGGCTGGAGTTGAGTTTTTACTAGAAAAATTCAGAGGACAGAGTATGTGGCTCTGCTCTAATTGGTAACCAACAAATGGTTCTATGCAGAAACAGTCTTAAGAGTCCCTGATGGCTAGGTGATGAAAATGTATGTGGAAATTAAATCTCCAGTCTTCCAAACTAGTGTGGAAGGAGGAAGAGGAGGCATTTCACTGAATGCTGTTGAAAATCTAGGGGAAAAATATACAAAAAAACATTTATTCCACAAAATTATTGCCATTCATTTACTGTTAAAAACTACCTGAACCTAAATTAACCTCTATGAAATTCCAAAATGAAGAAAAGCAGTTTTCAATGGGGAAAAAAGATCTTGACCACTAAAGACCTACTGTATATATGTATATGTATGTACATGTGTAACTGTATTTTCTCCTTTTATATATAGGTATTTATATAATATTTTATGTGTATCTATGTATTTCTAGTGCATTATATATATATATTATATATATACACATATGTGTGTGTGTGTGTGTTATATAGGCTATATAGATATAGATAGGATAAATATCTACCTGTTGTTTATCCTTTGTTTTCAAAGATCACATCACAGGGTGATGTCTTTACTTGGGCACGAAATCGATTTAAGTGAGGCAGAGTTACACAAAGCTGTTAGCCTCACTCTCTCATCCAGTCATCAAAGTTCAGTGAAAAGACAAAAGTCAAGACCACTGGTGATGGCCCAGGATACAGTGCATGCCCTTCGCGTCTTCCATGTCTGACCAAGCTGTAGTGCTTCATGGAGTCTGCTTCAGGCCCCTTCATGGCCATTGGAACAAACTGTTCTGTCTGCCCGCTCCACCAGAGAAGTCTTCCCATACTTGGGGTAGACACCCTCCTAACTCAGGTTTCAGGTCCGCTGGTCACCCTCAACTTGTTTTAGCCACATACTGAACTGGCTTTAGCAGGTGTTGCTGCTATCAATGCTATAGCTTCTTGGAGCTTCAGGCGAGAGTTGGGCGACAGGTGGACACCTAAGGTTGATGAGCAGCCCTGCAAAGGGGTGAGTGGGGTGTTCAGGGAGGACTGGCACCTCTGGCATGAAGGTTTGCTGAGATATCTATATCTATATCTATCTATCTATCTATCTATCTATCTATCTATCTATCTATCTATCTATCTATCCGTGTGTGTGTGTATTTGTGTGTATATGTATATCTATCATTTTATTTATCTGTCTCCATCTGCTGCTGTCTGGTTTCAACTCCACAAAACAAGTTGCCTCTCCCAGGTTAAGCCCCATCACCTCTAATCTCCTCACCTCTCTGCTGACTCAAGCCTTGTCTGATATCACCCACCTCCTTCAGCCTCCTCTCTGCTCCGATTGGAGGGCTGGAAGGTGGCATTTCAAACTCCTCCCAATGCTTTCTTTTACAGAGGGTAGAAACTGTATTTGGGGCTCCCCTCACTTGGCATCTGCTACTCTGCTTGGTTTCAGCTCCAGGGAACAAGATTGCCTCATGAAGGGAATCCTCTGGTGTCCTCTTGTCCCTCCCCACTCCCATCAGAGTGTGAGCTCCTGGAGGGCAAGGATGGTCTATCACTTTATTAAGTGTATTCTTAGCACTCAGCACAGTGCCTGGCATGTGACAGGTGCCCAATACAAGTTGAATGGATTGGACTGGATTGGAGATATGAACATACATGTCTATATGGATACATGCTCAATAGACTTACATACATAAATACACATCTAAGTTTTACTATACAGATATGTAGTCTTTAGAGAAAGCAATAGAATCAGAGAGAGAGAAAAAAGAGAGAGATGGAGAAAGAGACAGAGACACAGAGAGAGAGAGACAGAGAGAGGAGAGACAGAGAATGGAGAGAAGAGAGAGGAAGGAGAGCCTACATAAAAAGGCAATATCATTTTATATGATGCTATTTCCAAACCAGTAGAACACGTGCATGCATACATGCACACACATGTATGATGGATAGAGGTTCAGGAAACCCTGGGTTCAAATCCTGCCTCTGGCCCCTCCTTCCTGGGGCCAGCCCTGGGCAAGTCCCTAAATAACTCAGTGCCCTTTGACAACTCTCTAAGGTCATAAGTTACAGACGGTCTGCTGTCTGCTTTGGTAGAGGGAGTTCCCTACATCAGTGTAATCAGAGGTCCAGTCCCTATGTGCACATACATTTGCACACACATATACATATATGCATTTGCCCAACTACACATATACATAAATACTTGTATGCCTACATAGGTGCATATGCCTGTATGTGTGTGTATACATCCCTTAATTTTATTCCTAATAGTTGTTTAACTAAAGTGAATGAAGCCCTGGCAGGGATGGGGACAAGGAGTCATTCTTTTCTCCAAGAATATTTGCTGGAAAGATTCCTCCAGCTCTAGGGCCTTTCAAATAGCCAAGGACTGATGATGCTCCAACTCCTCAAGCCCTAGTAGGATGTAGGGGGGACATGACCACATTTTTAGGGCAGTCAGACAGAAGGAGAGGTGCCATTTTGACAGAACCTTGGGGGCTGCAGACCAGGGAAGGGAAGGGGCTGGGTTCTTTGGTGAATGATGGAGGCAGAGAAGGCAGAGAACAGGTGGGGCTGGCTGTGGAGAAGGATGCCCTCTGGGATTTAGCACCCTAGGGCAAAGCCCCACGAGGTTCACCATAGTTACAGCTCTGCCAACAGCTATGATATACATCCTCTAAGGCCAACTCTCCTCTTAAACACTCTGGTGACCTTATGTCATTTTTTTTTACATAAATGTGCATTGATGTTCTCTCTCTATAGACTTAAATACACAATCCCTCTGCTAGGCCTAATACTGGAAGAATCATAGTGACATAATTATGATCCTAGCCTCTGTGGTCATGGATCACAGGAAACAAAAAATGAATGATTTGTGGATAATTTTAATAGCATGAAATAAAATACCGAATCCTGAACTAAGGCAATAAAAAAGTTCATAAAAATCCCCATTACTATATTAAAATATCTCCAGATATAAAATATCAACAAAAAATGGAGGAGAAACCAGACCACAACTTCTCCCATAGATTTCTCCATGAGTTAATCACAACTTGGACAATAATTTAGGGAGAGGATCTAGGCATGCAATTTCATTAGTACAGGGAACTTCTGCGAGAGAACACCCCTCTGTCAACATAAGCTGTCATCTTCTCATAACTCAGATCTAGAGGTGCCTTGGCCACTGAGAAGTTAAGTGACTTACTCAGGGTCACACAATCAGGCAGTGTCAGGAACAGAATTTGAGCTCACATCCTCCTGGCTAGGTCTTTAACCATTATACCACACTGACTCTTGGGATATTCAATTATAAATCATTCATTCCAGTTATGCTGTGTCTCATTATTATATACTGTTCAATGCTTCTACACATATCTGACACACAGAAAAAGTAGGACCAAGAACACAAACCTTTCTCCTTGCTTCCCACCACTCTTGGGGTTGACAAAAACCAACAGTGGGTGAGTGCCAGGAATTGGAGTAATCTAGGGAAATAACAGACAAGGTCATTAGTTCTTGTGGTCTGGTCTGGTAAAGGATGAACAAATGAACAATGACAAATAAACATGAGGTACAGGGCTGGAGAGAATGAACAAAATGAATAACCATGGCTGGAAAAACGAGAGAGAATGAGCTGGTCGATTAAGATGTGGGGTCACTCTGCTACTGATGCCCTTTGTGACCCTGGGCAGGCCACTTGACCTTGCTCCACCTCTGCTTTCCATAAAATACTGGGTTTGAATTAGGGGACCCCTGAAGTTGCTTCCAGCTCTAAAGCTCTGATGCCAAACTGTCATCACTGGTGGTCATTGTGGAGAGGCAGAAAGAACACCAGATTTGGAGTTAGAAGATTCACTTCCTGTCTCTGTCTCTCAGTTTCCTCTTCTATAAAATTAGGGCATGACCTCTAAGGACCCTTCCAGATCTAAATCTAGAATCTTATGATTCTAAATTCACTAGATGGTCTTGGCCAAGTCTTCATGGAAGGAGATATAGGACTAGTACATGATAATAGGAAGGAGGGAGTGTCAAAAATGGGACAGAATAGTGGGCTGGGTCGGGCTCCCAAAATGGTGTCCCTGTTATGGACACCAAATGAGGAAGAGGCATCACAGTGAACGTTCAAGGGCTCGGAAACCAAACTTGATCAAGGGCTGGCCAGGCTTGGTCAGCCAGTTAGGGTTCCTCTACATATATCCCCAAATGCTGATTTTGCCCATGAGTTTGAAGAAAGAAAACTTTCTGTGAGTTCTGACCCCTGCTCCTCACCCTCCTTCTCAACATCCTTCTTCTCAGTTAGTGTTTTCTCTTCTCACCTCCCTCTTGACAGGGCTCTGAGTTCTCTTCATCACTCGCCTGAATTTCCTTGGTTTTGCCTCACCACAAGAGCTCTCCATGATTCTACTTCTGATTCCCTCTGGGACTCACTCTTATCCCTCCACCATTTCATCCCATCATTCACAAGCATCTATTTTATGTCCAGGAAACTCTTCCCAATTTGTCTGCTCTAAGGTAACTTGTTAAAAGATTTCATTTTAAAATGCAACCCAAGGTACAGTCTGGAACATCTGCTGTTGTTTGTTGACTGCACCCAGGACAGTGGGATATGGATTACAGAAAGAAAAAAAAAAAAGAAAATGGACAACCAGGCACTCGCTACACCTTGTCAATTATCCAGAATACATCATGATCTTTAGTCAGTATCCAGTGTCTTCTATAGAGCAACTGAAGGGTTTAAGTGGCTGATCGTTAATCAAGTGTAAACACTGAAGATGCAAACAAAGGCAAAAACACTGTGGCTGTCCTCAAGGAGCTTACGTTCTAATGGGGAACACAACAAGGAAATCGATATTTATATACAGCGATGAATACTTTCCTTCTTTCTACCCTCATTCTCAGTGCCTAGTACAGTGTCTGTCACACAGCAGAAGCTGATTGATCGGGCAAGAGAAAGGTAACCTAGTTGATGGAAAGGCTCAAATGGAGGGGGGAGGTAGGGGGCGGGGCCAGGAAAACCTCCTGCCCAAGGTGAAGTCTGAGCTGAACATTGAAAGAAGCCAAGGATTTCAAGAGCTGGTGGTTAGGAAGGAGTGTATTCTAGGTGTAGGGTATGTCTCTGCAGAGGTATGGACATGACAGATGGAAATCTCTGTGGAAAAGCAGCAAGTGGGTCAGTCAGACTGCATGGAGCGGAGGGGAGTGTGGGAAGACCGGGAAGGGAAGAAGGGGGAGAGAGAGAGATTCTGAAACGTCACAAGGAAACTTTGTACTTGAATCCCGGCAGTCACTGCAAGTCGTCCAGGATGGGTCTTGCCATGCAGGTTGTAGAGAAGCTAATCAGGGGTGTGGGGTAGATGACATGGACACTGAGGTCCCTTCTGGTTCTTAGGGTCTGGACATTCTAGTATTTTGTGAAAATGGAACTAGTCCCACAGAGGATGAGGGGATAGAGAGGACATTTGAAATATTTTCCTATGGAGGTCTTTTAAAAGATACAGATGTTGAATTCACAGGAGGAAGAGACTTAAGAGAGCATGCTAGCTGTCCTTCCTGTCCTGTGGATGGCAGATTAGACTTGTTCTATGCCGTCAGACTAGCTTCTCACTTCTGTAGCGCTAAACAGTTGCCCAAGTGTTTTATCCACCTTATATCAATGAAGGGTGCTTCACACCACCCTGGCAGGGAGATACACATGTTCTACTCTCACCTCCAGGCTGGGAGAAGTCCTTGATCACATAACCGGCATCTCCTGACTCCCTGTTCTCTCTGCCAGGCTGCCCCTCAGGCACACCTATCGCAGGATCCAATGGGCCAAAGTCACAAGGAGGAAGGTTTTACCTCAAAGCTGTGGTTTGTCCTTCATTTCCAAAAAGGACTAATGACATCACGGAGAGCTACCTTGACTTTAAGTGAGGCAGAACTGCACAAAGTTGTCTGTCTCACTTTCTGTTCCAGAGTCCTCCAAGTCCAGTGGCAAGACAAAAGTAAAGATGACTGGTGATGGCTGGGGGTGCAGTAGATGAGCTGTGCCATTTTCAATGGCTAACCAAGCTTTCAGCACTCCACAGTGCCTGCCTCAGCTGCCTTCAGGGCCACTGGAAGAAGCTGCTCTCATCTGCCCATTCCACAGCGGATGCCTTCACATGCTTGGTGCTGACAACCCCTAACCTGACATCAGGTTTGAAGTCTGTTGGTTATCCTCACCCTGGTTTAGCCCATCTGCCAAGATGGTTTGAGCAGGGTGTGGCCATTGTGTGTGAGTGCCAGGTAGACACCAAAGGTAGATGAGCAGCCCTCACACCAGAGGAGCTAGTCCTGCTGCACAGCCCAGCTCAATGTAAACGAGAATTTTCCATCTGTCTGGATATGAAAAGGGACGTAACATCCAGATGTCAGTTCTCCTGTCACTGGGGGTTGGGGTGGGGCATTTAATCATGGGCAAGTTGCACACTTGTTGAGGTGATAATAGAAAGAATTCATGAGAGAGACAAGTAGCTCATTGTTAAGACCCTTTCTAACTCAGAATGTATTATTCAATGGCTACACCAAGGATTTTCACTATGAGGTCAATAAATGTGTGCATGCACCTTTTACACATAAATTTGGATAAATGTATTTTAACATAACTGGCTTGCTTTGTAATCCACACTTAATTCTGAGAGGGAAGTCTACAGACTTCACCAGAGGGTCAAAGGCCAAAGTCCATCATGTACAAAAAAAGAATCCCTGGTCTAGACCAACCTAACTGGAACATGGAGTTTATGAAAGGCAGTAACTGGGCAAAAGTAGGAAGATAATTTCAGGTCTGACTGTGGAAGGACCTCCCAAACGAAGAGAAAGAGTTTACAGTTGAGATCTGCAGGGGGCAGAGTCACAACAGAGTCTTTTCTGTTTTGTTTTGTTTTGAATCAAGGGATTAATGTAATGAAAGTATGAAAGCAACGTCTTTGGCTTACCGTGTGACAGCCTCACAAAGTATAAAGTGAGGGAGGAAGATCCTGGAAATAGTGCCCAGTTAGGAACCTATTGCCAAGAGAGAAAGCAAGATATGATTCTGCCCTAAACTGGAGTGGGACCGTGGCAATGGTAGGAAAGGACCGAAGGTCAGAAGAGGAAGCATCAACAGAACTCAGGACCCATTGGCTAAAGGAGCAGGGAAAGAAGTCATGGGGGATGCTATACTGGCAAGGAGGAGGGAGGGCCTGCCTTTATCACCATATACACCACTGCCTTGGCAGGAACACACGGGTTTGTGGCCACTTTTATGATCTGTGATGAAATACAGCAAGCATAAATCTTACACAAACATGGAAAGACACATCTGCCCCAAAGAGCCACAAGGGATCACCATGGCAGGATACACACATACATATATGTGTGTATGTGCACACATGTGTTTATTATGTATATGTATATATGCACATATATAAAATATGTATATGTATACATGTGAATATCTATATCTGTCTATCTATCTAAATCATAGGCAAGCTTTGGCAGTCATGATCACTCCCCAGAGGTCAAACAGTAAAGGTGGCAGATAATAAGCTTGGACTGGAAAGAGGAGAGGAAAGTGGAGTCAATCAGTAAGTATTTATTATGCACTTACTATATGTCAGGTTACAACATCAGCCATGTATTTCTAGGAATGGTGAATCATGATGCAAAGCTGGCCTGTTGCTTTACCAACAAAGATTGGATAAACCACTTCAACAAGGAAGTCTTGTGAATCACTGGACCAATATTCATGGAAAGTCAATGCTTGTTGACATGATGGGAAAACCTTCCTTTGTGCCTGGTAGATGAGTTTATGCCTTTTCTTTGTGATGGACCCTCACAGAAGAAGCTTCATGAAGTCCAACCCTATGAGTGTCTTCCTGAGATAATGAAAGGAGGTCCTTGTGGTCTCTAATGGCTTCTGTTTACCTATGGGAAGCACGAAGGAAATGGAGGTCTGGCCTGAAAAGATCAGTCTGTTAAAGTAGGTGCCTGCGCATGAATTACAGACTGAACCCATGATTTTCCATTGAATTAACCAGAAGAATCAAGGGCGGGGGTCAACTGTGAGGGAAGGGAAGTGAACAACTCTGTTTGAAGCACATTGAGCTGGAGGAGAGAGCAGAGCATCCACTGAGAAACATCCTGAATCTTGGGTAATAGCATTATCTAGGGAAACCACACTTTTCTGACAAAAGTCTTCCTTGGGAAACTTTCCTACAATGGAAAATCATATGACTAAGAGCTCTCTTTTCAAATGTCCATTTTGGGGCATCCGTTCTATTAATGGTGCCATGAGCTTTTCTACACAAATGCTTCCATGGAGGACGTGCATGTGGATGTTGGCATCTTTTCCATTTCAATCCATTCTTGTGACTTGTGACCATGCCCATAACCTGTGATCATCGGTATTGGGGTAAACCTCTGCCTTGGTGATGACAAAGATGAAGAGCCCAACCACCTCTATGGGAAGTCCCGTAGGACTTGGGTTAATTAATGAGGCTCATACTAAGGTTATACATGATCTATTACTTCCTCTAATTAGAAATAATAATCCTGATCATTATGCTGGTTAGCTAGAAAGAAGTAAGATGAATGTTCTTAACTATGATTAATCGCCTTCTCTAAGCAGCGCACATCTCCGCTGTCAGCGAGTCATATGCAAACGCGGCTGCAACTCAATGCTTTCTCATGATGTATTTTTTTTAAAGCTTACGGGTTAAATTAATTTTCTGGCAGTCCTTTTTCCTCCATCTCGATAAAGCACTACCATTTTTATTACTTTAAAAAGTCCATTATTAGCAAAACAGCAAAATAATCGATTTCTCTCTTCTGTGATTTTGGGAACAGTGAGGGGCCGGGCTGGGCCTTTTCTCTTTCCTCCTTTTGCCTGTCATAGCTAAACAATACAACACTTCCATGTGTTTTTGTCCACATGATTAAATTACAAACAAATTAGTTTCCAAGCTTAGAGACCATTTTACACAAGTCCAACATGCTGAGAGTGCCGCTATATTGTATACACTGGGGTTGTCACAACTCTTGTCCAAATTCTGGTTAATGTTAATATAAACTGGATAACAGTATGTCTAAAAAAAGTAAAATAAAAAAAACAGCCAGCATTTGTAGGACACCTATGTTCCAGGCACCGTGACAAGTGCTTTACAAGTATAATATCTGCAGCTCACAACAATCCCGGGAGGCAGGTGCCATTATTATCTCCATTTTACAGTGGAGGCAAATAGAGGTTAAATGACTTGCCCAGGGTCACACAGCTAAGTGAGATCAGATTTGAGCTCAGATCTTCCTGACTCCAGGCTCTGTGCTCTATCACTGCCCCACTACTTTTGGAATGAACAAAATCAAAATCTTTTGATGACAATGGTGAAGATGATGTTAAAGTTAATGGTTATTTTTGGTTATAGCAACTAAGATGGTTATAGATTTAGAGGTGGGAGAACCTTTGGAAGCATACAGTCTAGCAGCCTCATTCTATGGGTGACAAAACAAAGCCTACAATTGTCAAGTAACTTGTCCAATGTCACATAGATAGGAAGCGGCAGAACCAAGTAAGGCTGAGGTGGTCTACAACTGGTCCCGGTCATTGTCACAGTAAGTTTTCTAACTTACGTGGATGGTGCATCTTAGCAGCATACATATATTAGCATAGGTGTCTTCAATAATTTACACGATAGGTGATTATATATTCTATATCTGTTTATATAGAATATATAATATATGTTTCTATTTTAATTAATAATACATCTCTTCTTGTTTTGTTTAAACTCATGAAAACAAAAACAAACAAAAAATATCTATTCATACATTGTCCAAAGCATTTGTTTGTACAATTTTTTTTACTGGCGTGAAGATTCTAAAATCTGGTTCTTCCCATACTTATAACAGGTTGCCAATAGGCCACACCCCCATACTGATGATCCCACAGTGCAGCAGGCTGCCAGACCACTAAAGGTTTGAACATCATGAATACTGAAGCTAGATTGAACAACGAACATTGTGATATTCACCTACAAGACTGACATTTTGATCCATTCACTAACTAGCCCAGGAGACTGCCTCCCAAGCCAAACTGGGGCTTAAACCAATAGACTGATGACTGAAGATGCATGTCCCTAAAAGCCTGGAATGAACAAAATTAAAAAAAGATGATGATGATGTGGTGGTTGGGAGTGAGGGGAGGCAGGAGGAATGCCCCACCTGTAGGCCTTGTCCATCCACAGTCACTGAGTTAGCTCTCTGCATTTTGTTCTTGTCTCCTGCTTTGTTGGCCTGCTGGGAGGATTCATTGTCCTTGTTCATGGTTCCTTGGCGGTCCTAAGAGAAGAAAAATAAACATGAGGCCTTAGCTTCATAAAATAATTCCATTTAAAACAATATTTTGTTCATGTCCCAAGATGAAATTGAACTTTTAACATAGTTAAGAGAGGCTGATTTCACCTGACTCCATTGGAACAGGACCTATAAAGAGCAGCTTGGACAAACCATCAGTAAAATGGAATGAAAGAAAGAGGTAAGAAAATTTAACAATCGGCCCAGTCAGGATTCTCAAACAAAAGAAATGGTGGAGAATCTCAAACTGCCTGTGTCTCATTGGCTGCAGAGTTGGCTTGTGGACTACCTATTTCAAAGGGGCTAATCAAGGAGGGTTCGTCAACTTCCCAGTGGTGTTTTAGAAGTCCTCAACTGTCAGTGGAGGGGGTGGACAAGATGACATTTCAGGTCCTTCTAATTCTACATCTCTGCTCCTAGGAATATTTATTAAGGTGGACTTTTGTTGTTGTTCAGTCATTACAGTCATATCCAACTCTTTGTGACCCCATTTTGGGCTTTCTTGGCAAAGATGCTGGAGCGGTTTGTCATTTCCTTCTCCAGCTCATTTTACAGATCAGGAAATGGAGGCAGTGTTAAGTGACTTGCCCAGGGTCACACAGCTAGGAAGTGTCTGAGGCCATATTTGAACTCAAGAGGATGAGTCTTCCTGATTTCAGGCTAGGTGCTCTAGGCACTATGGTGCCCCCTACCTGCTCAAAGTGGCCTTTAATTCTATTTAAATATGTATGGGCACAGTCTCTTTGCCTTCTTGGTGTGAAGCCATTTTGAAAAGTCCCACTTTAAAAAAAGAGCACATTGCTGAATTTAGCCATGTGTGCAGGACAAACCATCCTCTCCATCAGATTCATCAGTGTGGTCTATCTCTACATGCAGAACTGATGGAGACAAAGACCCAGCTACTGGGGACCCCTCCTTGGAATGTCTGTGTTGGTAGAAAGACCAGCTGCCCTAAAAGTTTGGATTAGAGAGTTCTCTAAATCATTGCCTGCTCCCCCAGAAACCAAGATTTGTCCATCAATACGGTGAATGCTAGAAAATGACCTCTTTGTATGGTTAACAAATATTTGCCCTCCATCGTCACCTCTAACATAATCAAGCATTAACAGGAGTAGAGATAAGTGATAGCTTTGGACTGAGTGGCATGTAAAATTGGGACAGTATCTGTCAATGGGTCCAGGAGTCATCTTTCATCACTCTGGTCAACATGGACAAATGGCAGCGAATGAGCAAGGCCAGTATGTGGAAGCAACTTTGCAAAAACAGACAGAGCCTAGTGATTAATGTCCAAAGAGGCCTGGGTTCAAAATTCCATTTTTGATTTTTTTTTTACTCCACTGTGTGACCTGGTGCCTAGAAGGAGGCAAACACAATATTTATTAAGTGCCTATTCTATGTGAGACACTGGGCTAAACCCTTTACAAATATTATCTCCTTTGATCCCCACAACAACCCTTGCGAGGCCAAATTTGAACTCAAGTTTTCCGGCATCCAGACCCAGCACTTTATACAATGGGTCATCTAGCTGCCAGGGACATGGGAAGGAATTTGTAAATGCTTCCTGGCTGACTTTGGGAAAGCCCCATAATCTTCCTGAGACGAAGTTTCCTCATAGGAAAAAAGTCAATTAAACCTGCAGTACCCAATGCTAAGGGATGTTGTGAGATTCAAATGAGATAATTAGGTACAGGAAATATTAGGCAAAGGCAGCTGTTTTTAAAAGCTCTGCAGGGCAGCTAGGTGGCGCAGTGGATAGAGCACCGGCCCTGAAGTCAGGAGGACCTGAGTTCAAATCCGGCCTCAGACCAAACACTTGACATTTACTAGCTGTGTGACCCTAGGAAAGTCACTTAACCCCAATTGCCTAAAAAAAAAAAAAAGCTCTGCAGAATCTTCTAAGACAAAAGAAAAGGAAGAGTTGTTGACCTAGGACAGCTCCATGTCACGGCTGGCTGCCTTGTTGAATCCAAGGTTATCACTCATGCTGGGTCTCTCTAGGATATCTCACCACATCAGATTGGGGGCCTTTTTGTCCAAACTTCCGTGGTTGAGGGCCAAATGTCTGAAGGTGTCAAACAAGGTATGTGTTGGAGGGTCCTTAAGAATGCTGAGAGCAACTGTGAGCAGGCAGGCTCACTCCTACCCACACCCACCCAAACTCTGGAAATAGATTTTGGGGGATAGCTGAAGGATAGGGATCTTTGGGCTTCATTCATGGGGAATAAGCCCTCAGGTGAAGCCAATCCTGACCACCCATCTCAAACAACCAATTAAGTAGGTTGGTTTCCCACACACACACACCCCTTCTCTTCTTCTATGAGAAGCAGTCAGAAAGCTAATTAAGAAAGGAAAGAAAAATGAGGGAAGTGGAGAGGAAGGAAGTCAAAAAGGAAGTCAGGAAGGAAGGAAGGAAGGAAGGAAGGAAGGAAGGAAGGAAGGAAGGAAGGAAGGAAGGAAGGAAGGAAGGAAGGAAGGAAGGGAGGGAGGGAGGAGGAAAGCAGGAGGGAGGGAGGAAGGGAGGGAGGGAGGAAGGGAGGGAGGAAGGAAGGAAGAGAAGGAAGGAGGGAAGGAAGGAAGGGAGGGAGGGAGGGAGGGAAGGGAGGGATGGAGGAAGGAAAGAAGAGAAGGAAGGAGGGAAGGAAGGAAGGGAGGGAGGAAGGAAGGAGGGAGGAAGGAAGGAAGGAAGGAAGGAAGGGAGGGAGGAAGGAGGGAGGGAGGAAAGGAGGGAGGAGGAAAGCAGGAAGGAGAAGGAAGGAGGAGGAGAAGGAGGAAGGAAGGAAGGAAGGAGGGAGGGAGGGAGGAAAGCAGGAAGGAAGGAAGGAGGGAAGGAAGGAAGGAAGGAAGGAAGGGAGGGAGGGAGGGAGGAAAGCAGGAAGGGAGGGAGGAAGGGAGGGAGGAAGGGAGGAGGAGGGGAAGGAAGAAGGAAGGAAGGAGGGAAGGAAGGAAGGGAGGGAGGGAGGAAGGGAGGAAGGGAGGGAGGAAGGAAGGGAGGAAGGGAGGAAGGGAGGGATTAAGGAAAGAGTTAATGGGAAGACGAAGACACCAACCCTGGTGATCAAGGACCTTATGTTCTATTGATTTTCATACCACTGTCTTAATCTCTGTCTCTGTTCTGCAGTTATTTTCACAGCCCTTCACAACAACAGACTTTCCCCAAGCCGGACTGTGTTCACTTCAACACCAAAGAATCACAAGCTCTCTTCCTCCCATAGCCCCCGCACCCCCACGGGCACGTCCTGCACTCTTCTTGGGCCTCAGTTTCCTTACTTGTCAGATCAAGGGATGAGACTCTGTGGTCGCTGAGGTCCCTTCCAGCTCTCAGCCCGGCCTGCCCGTTTTACAGACGAGGGAACAAAGGCTCAGAGAGAGCTCTTGCCTTTCCCAGGGTCTCACACGCACCGTTTACTTGGCCGGCCAGGGTTTGGGCAACGTGGCTGTCGACTCCACCCAGGAACCCGCTGATCGGGTAGCGGGCGTAGATGAGAACTGGGCCGCCAGGTGGCGCCACAGTGCACGGAGCCCGCGGGCCCCGGGACGGCAGCGCCAAGGCCTGGCTAGGCAGGCTGGGGGTAGTTTGCATCCTTCTGGGGTCCGGTGGCGCCGCAGGAACGGCTCCGTCTGCCCACGGGTGGCGGCTTAGGGGGAGGGCCTGAGGGGGCAGCATGGCCTGCAGGTGCAAGGAGGAGAACGTGCGATGTGGAGTCGGAGAAGCCGGCTTCACAGCCTGGGGCCTCCGTGGCCTCCCCACGGACCTGGAGCACGTGACTCGGCCTCACCGGGCCTGTTTGTACAACTGCGCACGCAGTGATCTGGAGCCAGGGCCTGCCGCACCCCGAGTCCATGATCCTGCACCCAGGGCACAAAGCAAAGTTGGCTTCTAGGCCGGACTCCCCCGCTTGCCAGTCACGCGGGACGTGCGTGAGCCGCCCAGCCTCCGTAAAAGCCGCCAGGGGCTTTGGGTTCTGTCTTCCAACCTTCGCTCACACGGCCCCTTCTCTCTCCTCACACGGCCATTACCGTGTGAGCTGCGGCCCTCCATGGCTCCCGGGGACTATGGCAGCAGCCTCGGGGACGGTCCTCTCATCCCAAGTCTTCCCGCTCCGGCCCAGGCTCCGCCCTCCGGCCCAGACTCCGCTCTCCAGTCCACGTTCCATCCTTCCACCCAATGGATCTTCCTCCAGCCTCGGTCTGACCACGTCACCCTCTTCCACCATAAGCTCCAGTGGCTCCCTATTATCCCCAGGCTCGAATTCAAGCTCCTCTGGCACCGAAAACCTTTCCTAGGCGGGGCCCTTCAACCTCTCCAGCCTCAGTATGTCTGCACTGGTCTACTCCCTGCTCCTGATGGAGGAGACGCCTCCTCCCCCGGCTCTGGAGGAACCTCCTGCCTGCAGTGGCTTCCTTCCTGCTGTATCCCATGCCTGGTGCCCTGCCCGCTGAGGCTGCCTCAGCCTTTCAGAAGGTTGTCTCTGCCCCATTAGATTGTGGGCTCCTTGGGGCATTTCTGCCTTTCTTTCTATGGCTAGCTCTTAGCACAGTGCTTGGCACATGGTACTTAATAAATATTGACTGACTGACCAAAGAGTTACAGAAATGTTAACTATTAACATCATCTGGAAAATGGGTCCACCAACATTACCGGGGTTGTGGTGGGGATACAACGAGATAACGTCAATAAAATGTTCCATAAACTTTAATGATCTTCATTAATGCCAACTGGCACCCCTGGCGTCAAAGGGCTCTGAGTCCTCCAAGGAAGGGCCTTGGAAGGTACATAATCCATCCTGTTCATTCCAGAGAGAAGGAGACCAAGGCCCAGGGGGTTGGAGTCCCTTGTCCAACTCACGGCCAGCTGCAGACCCTGCGCTCCCTTCCCTCTCTCCTGGCTTCTCTGTCAGCCTTCCCCTCCACACCCCTGGGGGCCCACCATATCAGGGCCCCTGGCCTGCATTGGTCTATTGGGTTTTCGTGAAAGCCTTTGTCTTCCTTGTCATTGGCCTTCCTGTGGGCCTGGTCCTTCCCCAAACCCAAGGGCCCTCTGGCTCCGCAAAAGCTTGGGAGCTGGGAAGTCACCCCAGGGATGGGAGGCTGGAGACATGCCAGGGGGGAATCCCTGCCCTATCCTCTCAAGTCAGGCAGTTCAGAAACACACAGAAGCAGCATTCCCACTGACTCCATCAGTCATGACCAGTGCCTCAATGCTAGGTGTATCTGTATCTCTGGGCCAAAGAGAGCTGATTTCTGCTCTGGAACTCTTGGGTTACTGCTTAAAAAAGAAGAGAGGGGAGGATTGTCTTTTTTTCTGAAGCTGCCAAAGACTGTACTGTAGTGAATAAAATCTACATGTGCCTTCATGCAGGGTGTGGGTGTGCAGACACTCACACACGGGGACTTCAGAACATGTGGCCCACCATGGACAGAAGTTTTGGGCTTCCCCGAGTCCCCAATGGAAGAGGGCCAGTGGGGGTAAGGGACTGTTCTTGCAAGCAAGCAGAACCATCATGGTCATGTTAGCAGCTGCAGATGTCCCTATCACTCCCAGGGCCAGAAGCACAGACTGTCACTTCCTATTTTAAGTAATTCCTCCCGGTAACTAGGTTCTTAGCACTGTCTCTTCCACAAAGGGCTATAAGTGCATCAAAGCCCTCTGAATTTGGTGTCTGGGTCAAAGCCCCTGGAACCCCACCCTAGTGATGCCTCCATTAGTGAGGACCAGGGCCCAGCAAAGTGCTGACAAAGAGAGGGAGGGATGGGTTCTGTTTGGGAAGGAGGGACCAAGCTCTCAAAGCAGCAGGCAGGACCAGGGAGCTCACTGGGAGAGGGGAAGCCAAGCCCCATAGTGCCTGCCCCCGCCCCCACTCAGCTTTCTCCAAGTGGCTTTTGATTTGATCTTGGCTAAAGGAATTCAGGCAGGCTGTAGCTCAAGAGGTGACCATGGCAGCGTGTGGGTTAGCACAGGCTGGGAGGTTCCACCAGAGGTCCAGCTCCACCAGCAAAGTCAACTATTGATCTTTAGGAATTGTGGAAATACAATAACAAAAGTTACTCAGCAACTGCTGAGAAAGAAGGGGGATGCCTCGGTGCCAGGTAAAGCAAAGTGATCTGTTAAGAAAGACCGCCAGCTCTGTTTACATCATGAAAGTACTGTATATGCTATGCAGTTCACCAATGACTGCCTCTTTCTAGGCAGTCATTAACTGACAGTACTCAGAGGAAGATCATTTTGCCTTATGGGATACAGGGTCCTAGAATTAACCAAAGCTGGTGAGGAGGCTAGCATATCACCTCATCCTTCCAGATATCCCTCTACAGTGAGATGATAGATTCATTGGCTTCTAAAACAATGCATCAATCCCCATATGCAAGGGCAGTTTTGAGTGTGAATTGCATGGATTTGGGGATTTTCTCATAATATATTTATCAACAAAATGACCTACTCTATTAAACAGAGGACTAGTTGTTATATGCTTTACACATGTATGTGCATGTATGCAAATGAACATGCATATATGTGTGTGTCTATATATGTGTACATATACACATATGTATAAAACACATGACATTATGTGTATAGACATACACACAGAAGTCGTATTTTGGAAATTCCTAAAAAGGATCTACTAATGCAATACAATGTTGTTACAGAAGGACGGAAGTCTCGGATCAAAGTAATACAAAAGCAAGTATGGAAAATTAACACCCTGACAACACCTCAGTGATCATTTTTAAATGAGGTAACATTTCTCCCATGACCACGTTCCATTCTAATGAGTTACCATCAGAGATTGTGTGTTCAGTGATTGATAGAGATGTCATTGCATCTTTTGTTGGGTAAGGGAGTAGGGTGGGGGAGAGATACTAACCCTCTGGTTACTCAACGCATTATTAATGAAGAGCTACAATTAGATGGTATGTAAAGCCTGGAATGGCTTGAACTTTCAGCCATTCCTTGACATAAAAACAAAATTGCCCCCATAGACTGGTCTATCTAGGGAAAGCCCAGCCAGGCCTCAGACAGCAGCATCTCTGCTATATAAGCTGTTAGCAATATTGTTTCTTCTTGGTGATCAGGTCTGGCTCGGCTGTAGCTCCCTGACAACCTGGAGGAGGCATCACAAGATCATGAGATACCCCAATAACATGGTCATGCTTGGATTAGAAAATCCTGAAGGAGAAAGGAAAAAAGCATGCATTATAATGATGGTGATGATGATACCACTGAAGTAGTTCAAAATTTACTGACTAAAAAAAAATGAAACGGTAAGAGTCATCATATTTTCAATTAGGAAATTTTTTTGCTTATTATTAATTTTTCAATTAGGGAATTTTTACGTACCTCAGGAAGTGAAACTCCTGAAGTTTGCAGAGTCTGTTGGAAAAGAGAAGTTAATATTAAAATTGTTTTCAAATAAAGGAAAAGGAAAAATGTTTACAGCCCTAGAGCTCTGTGAACACAAAGATATTCTTTGCTTTTACTTTTCTGTTCATTCCCATGGCCTCCAGTGAAGATTCTCCTCTGGCCCTGTGCCCACACAGGTGCAGCGCGCGCGGGCGTGTGCACGCACACACACACACACACACACACACACACACACACACACACACGCGCGCGCGCGCACACACACACACACACACCCTCATGAGCACCAGACTTAACCTTTCCCAAACAAAGTGTACTTTCCTGGAGCTTGTTTATCCCCCAGGCCCATTTCCTAAAAGGAGGCTGGGCTGAGCCTTTGGGCCAGGGTGGTGGCAGCAGTGCCTGGTTCCAGAACCCTGTCCAGAACCCCCCAACCCTGTCCCTCTCCCCCATCCCCCAACCCATCTCCTCCCCTAGCTTTGTTTTCCAGCGAATAATTGCAAGGTGAGACACACATGACTTCCAGGAACACAGTCCAATTCAATTATTCTGGGTGTTACTGGGTTTTTTGTTTGTTTGTTTTTGTTTTTAATTTTTGCAATGGAGCTAAAGAGACTTTCAAAGATCTGAAATTAATTAATGGACAATCTAACAAAATAGCAGTTGCGATACTAATCATTTCTCTTTACAATAGCCTTTTCTTTCCCATTTAAGTAAATCTTTAGTGAATTTCAATAACTGAAAAATGCTATTTCTCAGTTCCCATAACCATACCAGTATTCAAAATACATGTAAAAGATGACTTGAAATGTGTAACAGGCAAACTGCCAGTGTAGACAAAGGTAGAAAAATATGGAAAAGGGCAGAAAAGTCTATTAATAGACTTTCTTCTTTGTTTGAAGTCTACCTTGACTAGGAAGAGATGCTTCCACAGGGAAAAGGAAAATAGAAACAGATGATTCTGACCAACATAGAAGAAAGAAGAAAACTGAAGAGACAAAGAATGGCTAGTAGTTCATCTAATGTAGAAAATGTAAGGACTCTAGTATCAGAGGATGTAGTTTCAAATCCTACCTCTGATACTACCGCTGTGACCTTGGATAAAAGCCAATGAATGTTCCTTGAGTTCATTTCCATTCTCTGTAAAATAAGGGGACTCTTAACCTTTTTTTTTTTTTTTTGCTATTTGGTGAGGCAATCGGGGTTAATTGACTTGCCCAAGGTCACACAGCTAGTAAGTGTCATGTGTCTGAGGCTGGATTTGAACTCAAGGCCTTCTGACTCTAAGCCCAGAGCTCTATCTACTGAGCCACCCAGCTGCCCCGCCTCTTAACTTTTGTGTGGGGGCTGTGGGCCCCTCTGTCATTCTGGTCAAACTTTGGGGACCCTATTCTGAGAATGTTTTAAAACACTTGAAGGAAATAAGAAGCTGCAGTCAGAGGGTACCATGTGTACAGGACAGAAGATGTCATTTCCCCCAATCCTATTTCTCAGATTTTTTGGGGGGTCCATAGAACCCAAGTGAAGAACCATGCACTAGGAAGTGACTGACTTCCCTTCTAGCTCTTAGAATGCTCTGCTAAGAAGCCCCGGCAGGGACCGGCTCTGTGTTACTGTCCCATGCTAGTGTTTCTTCCACAGCCAAATAACAACTGTACATGCCACAGCAACACAACTGTGAGCTCACGGTTAGGTCATCTGCCACGGGCTTTAAATCGTTTCATCTGGAGGCCGCATCTCTCAACTTCTAGAGAGGGGAAAATGCTGCATTTTCTAATACATCTATCAGAATTAATCCTCCTTTAGAAAAATGGAAGAAATGCTTAAAAAGAAATCAAAGATGACCTAGTTTGAGGAAGAAGAGAGGACCCCAGACTCAGGCGAGGAGGTGGGAAGGTAGAACAATTTGAAATACAGATGGCAGAAGACTGAAGAAATGTCAGAGCTGTGGGACAGGCTTGTTCTCCTAAGAGAGTGGAGCAATCCCGGTGAGAGAAAGTTGTTTTCAGGGCATCCCAGACCAATACAGACTCTCTGCTACACAGGAGCCTGGCACTTAGTATGCATTTCATGAATGCCTGTTGATTGGTGATAGATTGATTCAACTCTCTTTACCTTAATTTACTCATCTGCAAAATGGAGAATATCATACTCAGGTTACAATATGTAATTACCCCCTAGGGTCAGAGTGAGAAAGGGCTATCTGTAAATCCTAAAGTGCTATGGAAATGTGACTTCTTATTGTCTCCCTAGCCTTCATTCTTCACCGAGCACCTACCCTGTCTCTGTATGGTTCCTCTTTAGGGAAATGTGATCAATAATGCCTAAAGTTCTTCTCACAAAAGGCTATTGATAGGATCCAGTGATGAGCTACATAAAAAAGTGCTTTGAGAACCTTGCACCACAGTTTTCTTTTGCATTGTCATGGTGACTAGGGTTCCCCTAAAATCCTCGTCGGGGATTGACTTGAAGTTCCTGCCCCACAGTTCGATCTGTCTCTGTTGCTGACAGTTGGTTTATAGGTCCTAGTTACACACTGCTGTGTCCCATGATGGCCATTCTAGACTGTTCTCTTGCATCACGCAGCCTGTCAGACCCTTCCTTACGTGTCTTAAGAGGCGCATTTAAAACATTTCCTGAACAACTAAGTTCATTCCTGTTGCCTTCATTACTCCAGATTATTTCATCACATACTGTGTGCCCAAGGTATAAGAGACCATGGCGAAATAATCTAAGTGTGTCTCTGCTATTTAAGGAAAGGTCGAGATCCACAGGTGTGGCTGATAAAGGGCTGCCCACACCCACCCCCTCACTGCCAGTCTGGTAAAGTATCTGAGTATATAAATCTCTGACCTTTTACAGTAGCATTCTTATATTTATTCAGCTAATTTGATCAATGCAGAGGGTTAATTAGGTTCAGAACCTAGGGCTTATTTGTTGTTTTGCTGAAATATTGGAATTGACCCAATCCATTGATTAATTTGATAAAGTAATCGCCAGACCATCATTGCACAGTGTCAGAAACCCTCACAGGAATAACCTGTTTCTTTTATATATATGGACTTGGCTACTATTCCTGGAAGCTCAGAATCAGAGAATGAGGGAGCTGGAAAAGTCCTCAGAAGCCATCCAGCTCAACTTATGCACCAAAGCGATGTCCCCCAGCCGCCTACAGTAACATATCTGTTAAGCGGTCACCTAGCCTCTGCTTGACGAAATCCGAGGAGGAGAAAGCCATTGCCTGTGGACCAGCCCATTCTACTTCTGGACAGTTGAGGCTAGCTCTCCCTCCCTGATATCAAGGTGAAATCAAGGCAGCTACTTCTTGTCTCTAAATCTGCCTTCTGGGAGTAAACACACCCAACCTAATCCCTTTCCCACATAGCCTTTGGAAAACTTGAAAACAGCTCTGACTTTCTCCCTGGAGTCTTCTCCTGCTAAACATACCATTCTCCCTGGACTCAAGGCCCTTCTCCATCATGAGTGCCTTCATCTCAACACTGTCCTACTTAGCAATACCCTCTTTACATCATGGAGGGGAAAACACGTGAGTCAGAAAGAAAACAGGGCCAGAAAGGCAACCAATGCTTCCTTTGAGGGTGGGGATTTGAATCTGAGTGATGAAGTCCCCATAAGGTAAGGAGTGAGATGCATAGAGCCAAAAGGCGAACAAGTCAGACTGGAATGAAGATATCTGAAACGGATGCCAATCTCCTTTGCCTTTGATCTCCCAAACTCTAGCTCTTGGTTTTCCCGCATCTTAATTTGTTGACCAGTGACTAGAAGGGACCTATATTTGAGTCAAAATCTAGTGGGTTATCCACTAACATTAAAGACCCCAAATTGCTGCCCTGTCCTCCACAGCTTATACTGACCTGAGTCTCTACGTAGAAAAAAAAAGTGTGGTGGTTTTCGTTGTTGTTGTTTTGTTTTTCTTTGTTTTTTTTTGCTACACCAGAAATCCAGCTTATGTTTTCATTTCAGTAACTAAGAAGTAAGGTGCACCCCAAGCTGAACAGTGGGGCTGTATGGGGAACAAAAGTATCTCCTCTGCTTAGCTTCAGAATCCTCTTTATTCCTTCATTGGAAATGTACACATTCCTAAACATTGGGTAAGAGCTCATTCTGAAGTTAAAGACAAATGACAATCCTCAGTTACCTCAGTTTCCACAGGTAACTGAGAAGTGACTAGGTGTGCATGTGGTGGGGGGAGGTGCAGAATGGAGAACTTGGGGCAGGGGAAGAGACTTGTTGAAAGACTAACAAAGTAGCTCATTTTTACAAATTAATTCGACAGACTGACAGATTCTCTGTGGCACAGCACAGAAAGATAGCTTCTACTTCTATTGACCTAGGTCTCCAAAGCTTGTAGACTTTCTGCAACTTAGAAAATGGCCTGCAAGAGTTGTGATGTTGATCTGGAAATCAAGATGTCTGAGCATAATCTGGCAAGAGCTATCTGCTTACTCCAGTTGTTAATGTAATTGTATAGTTTTAAAGACATTATTATTCGCGTGTCTGAGAGGAGTGTTAAACTCCTTGAGGACTGAGTTTTGGCATCCTCACTACTTAACCCGGCGATTGGTGTACAGTAGGCAATCAACAAATGCTCACTGAATTGAATTGGAATACCCAGCTTGTCACTGAGCCTTCACTCCCAACCTTCCCAGCTTCACGAAGCTTGTTGGAGTTGACGCTAGTAGTATAGCCTTTAAGAAGCTTGAGTCATGCTATGATGAGACAGTGAAGGGGAGATTTACTGGGGGGTCCTCATACGGTCTACCCACACATTCATCCCTCAATGTGAATCAAATCATTAAAAGGCATTGATTAAGCACCTACCATAAATCAGCACTCCTTAATTAAGGAGGACGTTACCAACGTCTAACCTGGACGTTTGATGATTCTCTACCTTAAGCTGAGCTCCCCTGTGCATGACCCTTCCACCTCTGGGCACTGCCCACGTCATGATAAAAGGTAAGAGTGGGATGAAGAATAAGCAGGAATAA